TTCTAGATGTTATATATGCAGTCATGCATTATTGAATCATAGAATCATAGGGTTGGAAGAGACCACAAGGGCCATCCAGTTCAACCCCCTGCTAGGCAGGAACTCATGATCAATGCATCCCTTACAGATGGGCATCCAGCCTCTGTTTAAAGACCTCCAAAGAAGGAGACTCCACCACACTACACTCCAAGGGAGTGTGTTCCACTGTCGAACAGCTCTCACTGTCAGGAAGTTCTTCCTAATGTTCAGGTGGAATCTCTTTTCCTGTAGCTTGCATCCATTATTCCATGTTCTAGTCTCTGGAGCAGTAGAAAACAAGCTTGCTCCATCATCAAAGGGACACCCCTTCAAATATTTAAACAGGGCTATCATATCATCTCTTAACTGTCTGTTTTCCAGACTAAACATACCCAGCTCCCTAAGTCTTTCTTCATAAGGCCTGGTTTCCAGACCCTTCACCATTTTGGTCACCCTCCTTTGGACATGCTCCAACATGTCAGAATCCTTTTTGAATTGTGGTGCTGATAGGCTGAGAGGTTGCAACAGGCTGGAGCAGGGGTGGGCAACTTTTCCCCTTTAAGGGCCGAGGGACTTCAGCTCCCAGAAGCCTCAGCCATGTTGGCCAATAGTCCCATGTTGATCAATAGCTCCTGGGGTTCTGGGAGTTGAAGTCCCTCAGCCCTTAAAGGAGAAAGGTTGCCTACCCCTGGACTGGAGGAACAATTGGCTGCAAAAACAGCTTTGGAAGCACATTCCACACTAGGGCCAGTTACGGGCTGTCATGTGGGCTTCATGGGTTGCAGCAACTAGAACTTCACTCTTAACACAAGCAATGGAACCACTGCCACCTATTCAATCATCATTGTTTTCTCTGAATTTAGCTGAAAATTAGGGTTAACAGATGAAAACAGACTTAGGGTTACCTGATGAAAACCAGAGGGCGTTCCAACATGTTTAATGATTGTGTAGAAGAGGGAATTTTAGCAGGTTGCCTTGCAACCAGGGAATAAGTGACACCTTCTGGCAATGACAATCTGGGAGCTTTAGAGCAGAAGGAATATTTAATTAAAACAACAACAAAATATTGTAATACTTATTACATTTCAGGGCAAATAATGTACCCATATTACTTTTTTTTAAAAAAAACACTAATGTGTAGTAAATAACATGCTACTTTTCAAAGTAATATTTTACAACAATGCATTTGGGGAAAGAGGAGAGTCAGATGGGCAAAACCACCTCTGGGTATTCCTTGCGTAAGAAATGCAGTTACCATAAATTGACAGGTAGCTGGAAGGCATACATGCACACACACACACACAGAAAACAATCTCAGCAGACCCTGGAGCCAGGTGGGCCATATCTGATCCAAGGGCCAAATGTGTCTCCAAGGTGGTTTTTGCAGCCATTGGTTCCTTAAGCCTCTTGTCATCACAACATCCTAAACACAAGTGGCTTGGTTGTTAAGACTGGAGAGACAGGGAGGCCTGAGGATGGATGGATGGAGGATGAGGAAAGAGAGGAAAGGAAAACACCCAAGACCATGTCCCCCCATTATTGCTGTGTGCCTTCAAGTTGCTTCTACCTTATGGCAACCCTATCATGCAGTTTTCTTCCTATCATGCGGTTTTCTTGGTAAAATTAGTTCAGAGGAGTTTTGCCTTTGCTTTCCCCTGAGGCTGAGAGCATGGGATTTGCCCAAGGTTACTCAGTGGATTTCATGGCTCAGCTGGGAATAAAACCCTGGTCTCCAGGGTCATAGTCTAATAATCAAACCACTGTACCCTACTGGCTCCACAGTACAGGGACCTTGAACTACACCTCCCTTCATCCTTCATCAGCTTGCTGATTCAGGATGATGAGAGTTGTAGTCCAGCTGGAAGGTACCACAAAGTTTCCACCAATACCTGCTTGGAAAAGTTAATCTAAAAAACCCCACACTGGGCATGCTGGTTTTAGGTACGCTGGTAATAACCAGTCCACCAACATCAGGAATGCATCATGATCATCCCTCGCCACCCCACTAAAGCTCCAAAGTGTCAGTAGAGCTCACATAAATGGGACTGTCTCCAGTCCAAGTCATATTATCTCCTTAGGTGAATACTATCCCCAAAACCAGGTTCAATCCTTCTTTACTTTGCTTGAGTGTGTGTGAAACACTGCAAATTCCAAAGCTGTTTATGTCAAGTCATGTATAGAGTGATGGAAATGTACAAGATGTATGGAGTTTTCCATGAGAAAGGTTTAAGTGGTAAACAGAACTCAACAAGAGGTGGGCAAGAAGTCATTACAATTACAGTTTTAGCTGGGAAACAGATAGTACATCAACATCTGAGCTCGTGAGAAAAGCAGTCACTTGGGGGATGATAGACAGCAAGAGACTAGGTTAATACACACCATACAGACATTATCCAATCAGCATAAGGGTAACACACAGAAGGTGGAGTATGGGAAGAGCCAAGGGGATCCTTTGTTTAAGTTTGTTTATATTTCCAAACTCTGTGTGTGCGTGTGTGTTTGGCAGTGGTTTTAACTATAGAGTTAGTTTTTGGCTTTTAGTTTATGAGTATGCTTATACTGCTTTTACAATGTAACTTCTGGATCTGGAAACATGGATCTGTTCCTTCTTAACTTTTAACTACAACAAGTTGGGATCCTATGCTTTTGGATCTGCTAAAGATGTAATCTCTCATGGCTGAACTAGAAAAGTTCATCACAATGGATTTTACTTAGTTGTCTTATTTTCTTTTATATGCATTAATAAAACTACACTTTTGGACTTTGCCATGTGTCTTCTTGACTGAGGAAGACAGGATTGCCTGGAGAAGAGAAGCTAAGCTAGGTGATGATAAGAGATACAAAGTGGCTGTGGATCATAGCAGCTAGCTTGTTCTACAGATTCTGCTAGGTGTCTAAGAACATCACTGCAACACCCATCATCCACACACTGACAGTTTACTGCTCCCTTCCACTCACCAAACTGCATAAACAAATCAAAACAGATAAATAGTCTACCCACCACCAACTCCTTCCCACCCACCCAATTCTCTTCTGGGAGAATCTTAGTATCTTTAGAATGGAAGAGGGAGGAGGAGAGAGGGAAAGGGAAAAGGAAGGAATCATCTTATAAACACATGGAGTGTATGGTACACCCCTTGCTAGCTGCTTTTCCTCCACTTTAAAACTAGCAGCTTTTTCTTTCTCATGATTGCCCTGATGAGGGAAGTAAACAGTTTTTGGCATGCATGTAAAGATTCCCTTTTTGTCCTAACAGCAACTCTGTGGGGTAGGTTAAGATGGATGGACTCTACTAAGGGGCTCCCAAGCATGAGCTTGTAGGACCAAAGCAGAGCAGTGGAAAACAGGGAGTCTTGGAGATGTCTCATCCACAGGGTCACCATGCGTTGGGATAGACTTGAGGGTAGTTAACAACAAAAAATATAACTTTATCTTCTGGGACTATACTGCTTGAAAACAGAAGTTCATGAGCAGGCAAAACAACAGTAGAGCAAGCAAGAGGCAGAGCCAAGCGGAGGCTACAAGAACACCTCCCACCAGCCTTCCTCAGTAGGCAAAGCAGCAGTAGGACTTCCGGTCGGTGAATGGAGGCACGAGGAGTGTTTTGGTGAGGTTCCACCAAAACCTTTCGTTTTAATAATAATAATAAAATTTATTTATATACCGCCCAATGGTTGCCCAATCAGGGCGGCTTACAACATAAAACGCAATTACAATAAAAAACACAATTCCCCCCCCCAAAAAAACATTATTAAACAAATAACATGATTAAAATCCATTAACAATTAAAACAGAATAAAATCATAGTAATTAAATGATTAAAACATTCCACAATACCCCGCTTTTACGCTTCCAGGGCAGGGGTAGGCAACCTTTCCCCTTGAAAGGCCGAGAGACTTCAGCTCCCAGAATCTCAGGAGCTATTGGCCAACATGGGACTATTGGCCAACATGGCTGAGGCTTCTGGGAGCTGAAGTCCCTCGGTCCTTAAAGGGGAAAGGTTGCCTACCCCTGTTCCAGGGCAACCATGGTACTTCAAAATAATGTTGCTTTGAGGTTTTTAACCTCTTCTTTGTATTAACAACAGCCAATCTTGGGGGCAATACTCCCTTGGCACAGGGAGTTCAAGGGGACTCTCACAGAGGCTTGTTACCCGCTTTGAAAGAACTTTTTCCTCTGATGGAAACCGGAGGGTGGACATTGGAGGCAGATTAAGTAGAAGCAGAGGGAGCTGAGAGAGCCAGGCCTCAGACGAACGCCTTTGGGGCTACAAGTGTCGCTGTTGACTTTTTTAACAAGAAGACAAGTAAGCTACCGGGATTTTGTCATCCTTAAATGCTGCCAGTCTGATTTTGCATTCTATTATCTGCATTATCCCTTCTTTATGAGAGAAAAAGGGATCCTTATCAAGCAAAGAATTAAACACAATTTGCAACTTCCACTGCAGCTATGTTAAACACAATTATTGGAAGTGAACAGGACTATCGGCTGTTAACTTCATCCAGATTGAACAAAACTGGGGGGGGGGGGAGTGAAGAGAAAAGAATTTGGCTTCTATTACTGTCCTATTGTTCCAAAAGGTGAATTGTTAATGTTGGAGAGAGGATTCTCCCTCTTTTTTGACCAGTAAAAAGGGCACAAAAGGGAAGCTGGAGGAGCCAAGAGCCAAATAGTTTCCCGCTTTGCCAGCGTGTCCCCTCAAGTTGCCCACCACCTTAAAGAAAAGTCTGCCAAAAACTTCTGAGGTCAAGCCCTTCCAGAGAGACCAGATGTCCTCTCTGCAAAGGAGGACAAGGCACCTTGTAGGAACTTCAAGGAAAATGTGGGCCATGACAAAATCAAAGTTAAATACACGTGTGTGTAAATAAATTCACGCTTCTTAGTAATGCTCAAAATCAGGGGTTTGCAGAGGGGGGTTTGCCATTGCCAATTTCTGATGCTGAGAGAGTGTGACTTGCCCAGGGTCACCCAGTGAGATTACATGGCTGGACTGGGATTTAAACCCTGGTCTTTAGAGTTATAGTCCAATGCTCAAACCACTCCTCCATGCTGCCTCAGCCTTAGGTGCTGGTACTATATTTCTATTCCGAAGAAAGCCACAGAACAGACTGCTGCCAGAACAAACTGGGCTGCCTGGTATACACACAGTTCACACCTTGTCAGCCAGGAAGGGTTTTGTGTGACGCCATCACTTACATGGATGACACCAACCCAAGTAACCCCACTGTATGTATGCAGCAAAGATTATTCTTCCATAGAAAAGTCTTCTTGTTCTCCCTTTTAGCTCCTGGACTCCTTTGAGGAGGTGGTGGCTGTGTCTTTAATCTAGAAAAGAGGAATGGATCTCTTGAATTCAGACCAAGGAAGGCAAGATGGAGGATGATGGAAAAGCAGTCTCTCTGGGAATCAGAGTGGTCCTTCTTTCAAGAGGAAGGCAAATGGACCTTAAATAATTTCGCACACACAGTTTCATTTCCTCACATAGCAGAAAGTGATTTTTTTTCTTTCCAGTGCAGGAGCTTAGTGCTCTTCATTCTGCAATAGCCCCCAGCCTAAAAAAAAGAAAAAAGAAAAAAAAGGAAGGTCAGCTTTTCCTACTAGGCCACACTGTTTTACCAGGAAAGTTTCCTCTACACCACCCCACCAGCATGGATCCCCTATGAGAACTGGAGAGGGGGGAGCAGTGGTGGTGGAAGGGGCTTCCCTTCTTCAGTCTCTCCACCCCATAACCCTCCATCCAGGCTCCTTCTCTGGACCCCATCTCACACATCCCATCTGCTTCCACAGGCCCCCATTCTAGAAACCCTCATCCTGGCAGAGCCCCCCATCTCCACCTTCCCTTGCCAAGGGGGACTGTGCAACCCCCTTGACCCCTTCTTTCCTTCCTTCCCTGCTGGGCAGCCTCCAAGGGGAGTCTTGAAGCAGCTGCTGGGGAAAATGGAACATATGCTGGGGGGGAGGCTTGTGTTTCATGAGCAGAAGGCGGGGAGGCCCCATGGCTGAGCAGAAAAAGGGGGTCCTGCTGTGGGAGATGCAGAAGCACCACCGGAATGGATCAGTCCCTCCTAACCTCCCATTTCTTGCCTGGTTTTGGACTAAAAATTCTATTAGCCCCCCATGTGCCAGCTGCCATTGGCAACTCAACCAGCTTTCCACATGCTCCCTGTCCTCTTTCCATTTCTAGTTTTACACTCCAGGTCCCATCAGCCTCAGCCAGGAATGCCACCTGCCAGAGTGGAAGCCCCTCTAGAGATCCAACCCCTCCCTTGCTGTGTATGGATTGTGATTCCCATCAGCCCCAGCCAGGAGTGCTAACAGTTAGAGTGGCAGTCTGATTAGCTGTCCAAGCCCTCCCTTGTTGGTTTTGGACTACCGTTCCCATCAGCCCCAGCCAGGAGTGCCAACACCCAGAGTAGGAAGCCAAGTAAATGTCCTCCACTGCTAGGTTTGTACCCCAGTTCCCATCAGCCCCAGTCAGGAGTGCTGACAGTTAGAGCGGCAGTCTGATTAGCTGTCCAAGCTCTCCCTTGTTGGTTTTGGACTGCTGTTCCCATCAGCCCCAGCCAGGAGTGCCAACACCCAGAGTAGGAAGCCAAGTAAATGTCCTCCACTGCTAGGTGTGTACCCCAGTTCCCATGAGCCCCAGCCAAGAGTGCTAACAGTTAGAGTGACAGTCTGATTAAATGTCCAAGCCTTCCCTTGTTGGTTTTGGACTGCTGTTCCCATCAGTCCAGGCCAGGAGTGCCAACAGCCAGAATGAGAAGTGAATCACATCTATAGGGCACTATAATGTAGAGAGAGAGCTAATGAACCTCTTCCCCCACCATCCACTGAAGCTCCTCCAATCTGAACCTTACTGCCTGAACCCCAAATCTGCTCTTTTCTCCTCCCTGCCCTCCTTAGCTCCCCAACTCCACTAGGGAGGAGCTGCCGTCTTTGGTCCTCTTGCCCTGGATGGCTGGACTCTGAACTGCTGGCTCCACAACCCAGACCAGGCGGGATCTGACCACAGCTGAATAATAATAATAATAATAATAATAATAATAATAATTTATTTCTTATATCCCATCTGTTGCCTAAGCAATTAAGGTGGCTTACAAATATAAGATACAGATTAAAAACATACATTACAACAATAACAGTAATACAGTACCTCCCATGGAGGGAGGGTCTTCTTTTCTGGCTAGGCCCGATGGAGCCGGCCTGCCTTCTCTCTCTCCTGATGATGGTGGATGGAAGGAGGGCCTTCTTCTTTTCCGGCTAGGCCCAATGGAGCTGGCCTACCTTCTCTCCCTCCTGATGATGGTGGATGGAGAGAGGGCCTTCTTCTTTTCAGACTAGGCCCGATGGAGCCGGCCTGCCTTCTCTCCCTCCAGATGATGGTGGATGTGGGGAAGGCCTTCTTCTTTTCCAGCTAAGCCCGATGGAGCCGGCCTACCTTCTCTCCCTCCAGATGATGGCAGATGGAGGGCCTTCTTCTCTTTAGACTAGGCCTGATGGAGCCAGCCTACCTTCTCTCCCTTCAGATGGTCGATGGAGAGAGGGCCTTCTTCTTTTCAGACTAGGCCCAATGGAGCTGGCCTGCCTTCTCTCAGCTGAACACTTGAGTGCTTTTAATTCCCTTGTTTTCTGCTCCTCCAGAGACTCAAGTTTATCACACGGGGGACAACTGCAAGTATAAACTGTGATTAAACCGTCATAATCCCGCAATTGTGCTAATGGTTTTCACACAACGTCAAGGTGAAATATGATTAAAGGGCCATTATCCTGTGAATAACCAGGCAAGAAACAGCAGCAAATCATTCATGGGATAGTCCTGTGAATGACATTTTTCTGTTTATTCCCTGGTTATTAACGGGATAATGGCTCTTGTGTTAATCTCATTTTAATCTCGTTTTAATGTCAATTGCATGATTTTCACAGGTAATATAATAATAATAATAATAATAATAATAATAATAATAATAATAATAATTCTTACTCACCTCTTCTCACAGCTCAAGGCAGGTTACAACCAAAAACACAATCCTTAAATAAATTACATATATTAAAAATG